CGCATGGCAATTAAATATTCGGAAAGTGATTCACCAGGTTTTAAGTGTCGTTTCTGTAACAAATTATGAAGTTGTGCACTGTTTATTTTAGAATCAAATTCAGATAAAAGATTTTCTTTTAATTTTTTCCATGATATTATATCTTTCAAAGACCTAATAAATACTTTAGCAGAACCAGTAAGCAATTTTTTAGCAAACACAATTTTCTGTAATTCCGATAACTTAAATAATTTAAAAGATTCTTCTAAATCACCAATGAAGGATTCAACTAGATATGTATCAGTGCCATTAAATTCAAAAACAGTTTCTAAGATATCACGAAAATGTAGGGAAATATTGCTAGGCATTATAATGTTTTCATTCACTGAGTTATTTATGGGAGGTGATTCTGACAGAACAGACTTAATATCATCATTTCTATCAGAATCATAAACACTTTCGTTTTCAGATAACTCCTCATCGTCATCATCATAAATTGACACATTAAGATGTAAAAAATGTAAATACAATTCCGATGTACAGCAATAATAAAAATAAAAATTAAAATAAATAGCGGTATGCTATTAGTCAAAATATACATTAACCTACGGGCTGGACCTGCAAGCTTAGAGAATTAAAACTTTATAAAGGAATCTGAAATCAAATTAAAGGGATAAGGAAAAAATAAAATCACCAACAGCGTGGGTCTTGCTAAGACCAAGAAAAAAAAATAAAAAGAAATATTAAAAAACAGACCTGTGGCAATGCTGTCTTCTCTTGCGTGGAGTAAACCAAAAAGGGGTTGTAATTCTTCTCCGCTCTTTTCACTGCTCTCCAACTTGCCGTGTGACGTAAGAAGGGGGAAACAAGGTCACTGGGCAATAGCCAATATCAAAAGACTGTCCGTTGGCGGGAACCCGCCTAAAGCCAAAGGGGGGGGGGGCGAAAGACGTGGAAAACGTTCAAAATGGCGTCGGTCATGTAGTCTTAAAAAGGAGGACTGGTTCAAAAGTGAAAATGGCTAATTCAGCTAAAAATTACTTAACATGGCCACAAAAGAAAGAGAAAAATGGAAAAAATAGTCATTTGTTAATGAAAGTCGTAATTCTTCAAGCTAGAGGGCGATCAAGCTTCAAGAAACGAAAAGGCCCGTTTGTTAATAATAGTAGTAGAATTGGCCATCAAAGTAATTTAAAACTATTTAAACAATAGTATTAAAAGTAATGTGCCAAATATTTGGAGGAAAGAAAACGTAGTGACAAGAATTATCTGTACATTTATACCTTAGATTCTCAGAATCAGCCATCCACTTTATACCGTCTCATTGGGCTTTAAGTATAAAATATCATTATCTAACTCAAAATATCTAAAAATTGGTAAGGCTAATGCCAGCTTTTTTTAAGGTATTTTTAATTAATTTTTGAGGAATGAGGTTATTTTTCAAGATTGTCAAGAAGTAAAGTATTTCTTCTTGAAGGTGTTTTGCTGTATTGCAGATTCTTTTAATTCTAAGAAGCTGTGAATAGATTGTGTTGAGGATAGCTCTTTTGGATATATTTGAATTCCAGTTGGTTATTTTTAGTGTTGAAAAATTGAATTCTCTTCTTTTGTCAAGATACAAGTGTAATCTTTCTCGAAATGCCTTCTATTAAATTTCAGTATACAGAAACTGAGTAACGTAATAAGTTTATAAAGTAAGTTTAGCATAAATACATTCTTTGTACTAATATCTACGCGAAGTTAAAGTACGATTACTAATACGAATCAGTAAAAGGAAAGTGCTGATTTAACACTCCAAGAGTCTTAATTTCTTTGTCAATTGATCCCTCTTTTAAACTGTTGCTGCACTATCTGCTTCCTGTCAAAACGGCCAAAGAGTGTTTCCTATGACGATTTACCATTTTAAAAATAAAAATTCTATGAATAACTTGTTAAATCATGGAATTTAAATTATTCATAGCCCTTTAACGAGATACGATGTAATCCATAAATTCTGAAACAAATCCGAATCAAATTCCTAGAAGGAAAATCTGTTTCGAGATTATCAATCATAAAGGCATCTGTAGTCAGTCGTGGAGTAAAATCAGAATTCTTTGGTTAACTGACAGAGACAAAACACAGTTTATTCAGCTGACGATGAATGGGGATACCTGATTAACGGGTATTGTCCCACATTTATCATTAACTAGATTTATTTTAAATTTAAGTAATAATAACCAAATAAATTATATTTTCATATTACAATACATAATTTAAAAGCATAAATCTTGATTTTTGTATTTATATGAAAGAGGAATAAAGAGTGAATATAAAATGCAATTGCATTAAAAATAAAATTCATAAAATCTACAGTTCATGGAGTCCATAAAGTTCAACCAAACATTCGTTAAAATCGATCATATACAAACAATCATAAAGTCTTAATAAGTTACATTTTATGCTCATAAAATAAAGTTATTGAGTATCTGCTAATAAATAAAATAATGCAATTTAAGAATAAATTGATATACTAGTATTATATTTATATTTTCAAGTAGGATGGCTAATATATTTTCCCAGTGCAGCAAGTACATTCATAATCTTACAGACTTTAAGAACAAGAAGTCTTTGCTTAAGAAGGAATTTTTTGAAAGAATGACTTAAGCTGCATAAAAATGTAATATGGTATATTTCGTTAAGGGACATTCCGTTATATAATGATCTGGATCTCCGATATACTCACACAATATCAGTATTGGTAAATCCATGTTAACAATAAAACGTTGCTAAGGGACCATGTCCTGTTATGTATCTTGATTACTGTGGAATCGAAATTTTATAGATCGACTGTTGGCAGATAGTTAAAGGCATGTCTGCCCTATTAACAGAATTTCCTTTCTTGTTGGCATTTTCTTTAGTAAGGTTGTCAAGAGATAGTTTTGAAAATGTGATATTGGCTAAGGAATGGGAACATATTCTGCAATATAATTTCCAGCAGCCTCTGGTACTAACCGGTCGGCGAACTCACTGCCATGTCCAACGAGATTTAATCCAACAAATACTGACACGAATTCTTTTCCTGTTTCGTACTAATTGTTGAATATTGTAGATTAATGGTGATGTTTGTGTAATAATCTGAAAATGCAAAAAGTACTGACGTACTATCAGTATATACAATTTGAATGAAAAATATTATTATTTACAATGTATTCAGTTGCTTTAATAATAGCTAATGTTTATCCGTAGAATATATTATTTTCATTGCCAAGGTGTCCTTTCCGTTGATTCTTCCTTCCGTAGAACAAAAGCGCATCCCGCATTATCCTTAATTTTAGAGTCATTGGTGTAATTTATAGATATTCTATTGGAATATGATAAATGTTCAGGTTGTTTTTCGCTAATGAATATCCTTTCAGGTATTCCTTTGTAGGGGGTCGGATGAATGTTACCTAAAGTTCTGACGTTTTGATAATAGAGTGGATTAAATACTTATTCAGTATAGCTTACTTGTCTTTTGAGTTGCAATCATGAGTCATGAGTTCTCTAGTATCCAATGGAAACAAGCCTGCAAACATAATAGCTTCAGGATTTCAAGTAATAAAGAAAATCCTGGTAATTGTAGCGGACGTTTGCGCTGCGCATAAGCTAATAGACCAGCGTTTACGAAATTTGGTACATAGGTGCATCTAGACAAGAGCCAGTGCACCTCGAAGCGATTTTTTCGAAATTCGAATTTTTTTTTTTTTTTATTTTATGTTTTGTGACGAAATCGCGTCATTTTGAGACATAATGGGCTATAGGAAAGCGAGATTTTACTCTACACACTCCACTTTCACATCGTCATGAAACGTAGGCACTTAGCTATTTTACGAACTTAAAATAAATTTCGTGTTTCAATAAATCGATTAAATACGAATTTATTTAACAAAGGGAGCTTAGCACCTTTTCAGCGGGATATTTTCTAAAAATGTTTATTTTTTAAAAATGTACTGTTTATTTTTCTTTGATTTTTGGACGCATTAAACTTTCATCCTTGCGACTGCTTTAACAAAACGAATTTTGGAAAAATGATATTTTGTATTTAAAAAAAATTTTTTTAATGAAGCTTCCGAGTACACTTCTCACATCTCACATCTTTAAAAATGTGATTTTGGCAACAATTTTCCTGTCTTATTGTTGTTGATAGATTTTTGATGAAATCGCATCATTTTGAATAGTTTCATTCTTTTAGGTTTTCATTCTTTTATGGTTTTTTTTTAATTAAAGAAACACAATAAGTTCTCTATGTACCACATAGTATCACATGGGGCTTACAGAAGTAAGTATGAAACACAATACAAAATAAACAGAATAAAAAACTAAAATAAAATTAAGGATTATTAGAAAGTTTCACAACAAATTGACAAAAAGCTGCAGAGTAAAATTCTACGCAGTTTTTAAATTTAACGTTTGGTGTTTCTCTTCAGCCATTTTTCCGGTATATTTAAAAGCCAGACGAAGGCAGGCAGCGAAACTGCTAGTATACAGTAATGGAATCCTTATCGATAATTCTTGATAAATGTTTGGAGGAAGATTTGGTTTTCCAGTTTAACTACCAACTAAAGCTGACCTGTTAATATATTTTTTCCTATTCTATTGTCTATCACTGCTTTCTCAGGATTCTGCCAGTAAATTAAAAGTTTTCTCCTACTAAAATTCTGAGGATTCGCTCGTATGTCTCATATGAATATTTCGGTGTTCACACAGTTTAAATTTTCGATGACAGACACATAATGATCAAAAGGAAGAAGTATGAATGTACTCTGGTGTTTCGACAAATAACTCTTAGAAATCTCCGGAATGGTAAGAGAAAATTCGTTATCATTCCTTTTGTTTCGAAAAAATTATCAGTTAGACGACCCAAGAAATACATAATGAATGCAAGCAAAGAAAATTGACGACACTGTTCGATGACAAAAATAGCACATCATGGTTAGGCTTTAACGTGTTCACGTATCAAATACGTTTATCAAATACGTATTTATCAAATACGTTTTGTATAGGACGTTGATGAAGAAGACAAACCAGCAGTTCCTCTGGAGCAAGAAGATGATTCTCCCGTCACTTTTGAGTCGTCAAAGCAAGATTTCCTGGACATCATACAGCCTCGGGAGTTTAAGTAAGTCTAAAGGTTTATACATAAAATTAGCTGCATTAACCTGTTCGGCCTAGGTAGAATCGTACTTTCAGTGAAGGTAGAGTGGCGGTTATGATATTATATGATGAATGAATAACTCGACTCCGACTATTACTCTGTAAAACATTTAAATAGCTAGCTAGAAAAATACTCTCCAGAAGACTATTTAGACAGTTATGGATTCTATATTGAATTTTATACAGTTTTCCTGAATTGTGTTTTTTTAACTTCTTAGAAGTTATATACCAGATTCACTTGATAAAGCAAACAATACCAATTAAATTTATTAAGAAACTCTAAGCATTCTAAAAATTTATTCTGGAAACTTTTAAATGAATCATCAGACGATAATTGCTAGCAATGTACTTACATGTGGTCTCTTGTAGAGTTTCTTTCTTGAGAAGAACTTAAGTATTTCTTAATTATTTGTTACAAAAACCTTTTAATTAACTAAGACAATGCTGCTCAAACTGTGTTCTATGGAACCTCCTTCAAATTTTCAGCGAAACATACTTGATTTTGTTTCCATAACATTCAATAAAGTAACTTGAAATATAAATCTAAAAGTCTATTCAAATGCAGCAGACCGATGTCGTGAGTTGTGAAGGCACCACTGGACACTTTTTTCCATTTTGCATCATGTCCTCTGGCTTATTGTTTTTTGAAGACGAACATGGTTTCGCTACACATGGATCATACAGTTTTAAAAGTGAAGGTGAATCCCACATAATTGAATTATAAAAGATTTAGAGTGAGTAGCCGATTGTCCCTGTGTATTCTATAAAATGTAAAATGATTAAAGTTTTTAAAGTTTTTGCTTATTAGTAAACTTTATTGGTTCTCATAATATCATATCACAGTCTTTTTAATAAGATCAGAAGTAAAAGACACTAAATCTAGTGGGCTATAGCGTAAATTACTTGTATAACAGAAATTCATTCAGAATGACAAGACAAACAACTAGTTTTCAACAATTACCACACATAGATACAAGAAGAATCAAAACCGCACCTACATCTATCGCACGTGCATTCCAACCGAAATATTATCCTGTCACGTGATAAAAAATCACGTGATCCGGAGCAGATGTTAAAGCTTTGGGAATCACCATCTTTTATGAAGTACCATATGATCCTGAGCAGCTGGAGACGGGTTGTTATTGCGTCTGTGAAGTTTTAAAAACATAGAAATTATATTCCTCTGTTAACAATATTAACAACGTAACTACCCATTTAAACTTTATTCGACTTTGTAAGGTAGCTGTCATTTTATTTTTCGCCTTAAAATAGGTTTCGATATTTTGCTGCAGGATGGAAAGATAGCTTAACAAGCGCACTTTAAGACGTTTACTCAAAACACAACTCTTTTGCTTCGGACTAACAACTAGCTCATTTCTAAAGATAATGGCGATAATAATGAGAGAATGAGGGCGGTATATATGAAACTGCCTCACAAGAAGTACCAGTTAATGCTTCTACAAGTTATCAGTCCAAAGCAGTTATTAAAATATTTAGGAAGTGTGATGAAAGTTGTATGTCTTAAGGATTTATGAACAATAATGGTAATCCTTATTGATGTTACATACTACAAAATTCTCCCACGTAACTTTATGACAATAACTATAATGCATCGTCATTTGATAATCTCTGCATGCCGAAGTTAAAGGTAAAAATATTGAATTATTAATTCAAAAGTATGAAAACTCTTAGAATTAAAAGGGTTTATGATTCACACCACAAAAATGAATTAAAAAGCAACTGATGGTGTTCTTGCTTTCATAAAAGAAAGATAATTTTTGACAATCTGCGTACTCTCCTATAACTTGCTTCTCGACAATAAAAGGCTTTTCGGAAGAAGAAAGGGTTGAAACAGGAAAGGCATTTATCGAAGAAATTATTCAGCACCTAAAAGGTTTGAGTGAAGATTTTAATCAGTATTTTCCAGATGAACAGCAGATTAACTATCGAAAAGAATTTTGGATTAATTTATGACTAATGCGCGATCTTCGATCGTGTCAGCAGAAGAATACGAAACTTTTACTTAAATGACATGTTAATTATTATTGGAAGAAAATTTAATTTAATGCTGTTAGTGGAATTCCAGTGCAGTTTAAAAGATGAATAGCATCATCGTTTGTTCAAAAGGTAGTGTTAGCGCCTCTATCATTTCCAATTGCTCGTATGTGCGAAATGGGGTTCTCAGCTTATGTTTTAACAAAACGTAAATATCACAACAGACGTACCAGGCGAACGTAGTTGAAGGTTCCCACGTGTGATTGCTCTATCCCTAAATATAGAGTTATTGATTTTCTATCAGTTATACCATATCATGCGTTAAGGTAATAGAGCAGAGTTTTGGAGAAGAGTTTATCCTCAGAGTACGTTAAAAGTGACGGCATTTCAGTTAATCAATGAAGTCGCTAGATGAATGTTTGTATATCGAACTGCTACAACATGCAGTTGTGCGCCTCCCGTTTTGGTTGCAATCGGTCTCACCAAAAGTATATACATATATGAGATAAAAATATGCAAATCAAAATTATAACCTAAAAAGCCTCTTTTTAATTTGAGTATTTTTTCTCTAGTAATAACGTTCTCTAAACTGCGTCAGATCTGAAAACTAATTCCGCATTATGCCATTTTAAACTTCTGCATTGTCTATAAGTTTTAGCCAATCAGATTAATGAAATATTTTACTATAAATACCGTTGCAATTCATCTACTCTCCCTCTTTCTCTGCCTACACTTGCTAGCTAAAGGACGTCGCCTTCTTGGCTGCTTTTGTTAAAAATGTAACGTGCCATCATCAAAATTGTGGGGGGGCAGATTGGCACCATTGTTAAGTGGAACAAGTGGTATGTGATTCTTCAAAAGTTCCCGGCATCTTCTGCTACGTAAATGATATTTTCAATGATCTTCTAATCCTCAATCTGCTCGCGACGAAAATATAATGTCTTCCCTAGTCAAGCACTCATCTTTCATCAATTTACTACAAGGAACTAAATCATATCATCACACACACATACACACACACATATATACATATACCCACTCTGTTACTCGGCTCCGTGAGCTCAGCTTTTTTTTTTATTTTTATATGTTGGCAAACTGTGCATTTTTTTGCTTTCAAAATATTTCAAATGATTGAATTATATTGTTCTTGGCCTTCCTGTTAAAGTTTTTATGCTTTTAGTTAATCTGTATGCAATAGTTGTAGATTTACCAACAATTTAAAAGTTGTTTGAGTCCGGCTAAGCCTAAGTTTTTTTTTTCTACAGTAGCAGTCATATTTGTATTTATATTTGAAACTTAGCAGAATAGTCAATTAAATCAGTTTCTGCATCTTCACTGCCTTTTTGTCGTGAGCGACCAAAAGTAAACTTTCAGCTTTGTGCACCCAAAAATCTGCCTTCTTGCCTACTGCCCGAATTGCTTGTTTTTGAGTAGAAACTCTAATTAATTGTAAACATTTTTTTTTAGCTGTTTTAACTGTATTTGATGTTTTATGTTTTTCTATATCTTTCAATTTTAATGAAGATATTTTGAGCTTTATGTATTTTTGCTTTGCTATCGGGAAGTGAGAACTGAATTAACTGAATAAGAAATACATCTCTAATAAAATTCGAGGAAATAAGTTTAAATGAAATGCAGTAAAAATCGTTTCTAATTTACTAGGCCATACAAGAAAGTCATGTGGTGTCCGCATCAGATTTTTTTACTCGTAGAAGAAAGGTATTCATGCCCGGTTCGAATATTTTTAACTTTTGTAAGATAATATATCTATATCAACAAAAATGTTAAATAATATTTCTTTTATCTCACTATGACACGAAACTACCCCGACTTGTCTTCGGCTGTCTATTAATGTCTATTAGTAAGGCAAAAACTATTTTAACTGAAATACAAAATTTATACAAAAAGAAACACTCATAAAAAGGGATAAAAACCAGAAAACGTTTACACAAAGTATTCGAAATCGATATTCAAATTAATAATTTATGAAAAAGAGTGCGAATAAGTTCTAAAAGCATTATCTTTATTAAGTGAAGCTGAATTATAAGAAACTCTGCCTCGATATATATACATGTAGAGAGAAAATTTGTATATATATATATAATGGAGGAAAGACAAACTAACTAAACTTATAAGGACCTGTGAGGTCAAGAATTTTGTGCATTGAGCAGCAAAATTTGAAATAATACTAAAAAGTAAATTCTTCAAGCTATTGCCTATGAGCTAAAGGAATACTTCGGTTTTTTTTGCAGAGTAGTATAACTACAAAGTAAAGATCGAATTGTAATTGAAAATGTAAAAACACAATATGTATGAAATACTAATAAAGAAAATTAGAAAAAAGTGAACGCTTAACTTGATTCAAACTTAAAAGTTAATATGCATGTAGAATAAAGTGTAAACTATCACAAAACATATTAGAAAAATACTACAAAAACATCATGTTTAAAAACAACAACAAATACATATATATATAGAAACGCATCACTTGCCATAAATTATCACAGCTTCAAGGCTTAATTTATTTGATTCATTTCTGAAATATTTAAGTTATGGATCTACAATGAATTATTCAACATGTTTTTATCGTGTACTATTTTCGAGAGCCTGTGTACATCTATGTCATCTTCCACCTTTATTTAGAAGCAAATGCGATCTTCAGTGTTTGACGGATATCAGCCATGAGAAGTCAGTTCTGCAGCTTGAACAGCTGAAAAAGCGGGCTGTGGAAGCCGTTACTGAACTCGAATCCGGAGGGAGTGGAAACGAAGATGAAAGCAAGTGAAGTAAAGCAAAGAAAATCTGTTTCAGTCAATCAATTTGAACTAAAATTCAGCGGACGAGGTATGAACTACAAATATTTCAAGATGGACAGAGATCTCACATTAAATTTCAAAATTTCAAAAATATTAATTAAAAATTATATTTGACAAAGAGTATCTTTTTATGTTTATTTGTAATTTTCATTTGTGTTACCTTTGAAATATATGTCAAAAGTAAAAATTTCTATATTGTTTTCATGAAAATGAAACTGACTCGTCAACAAATCTGAAGTTAAGGAAGTCAATCCCCAAAGTTGTCAAAATATCAACATGCGACTTCTCCAAAATTTAATTATTAAAACCCGATGTCCAAAATCTATCCAATAAAATAGTAAACAATTACTGTTCTTAATGATAAAAAATAAGTATGACTCTGTAGGTATTACGCGTTATTGCTCATATGACTAGCTATCGAAAATAAATTTTTATCTGTTTATTAGTCCAAAGGGGCAATTTACCCAGAAGGGCTATTAATTTCGTGTTTGCATTTTGCGCTGATTTACTATAAACGGCGAATCACGTTTTTTAAATTTTGCCACCAAATGTTAGAGCCCTGTATTATATTTGAAGAAATTAAGTAATGAAGAATCTGCATAAATGTAGGTATATTTCTTGCATTGTGATAAAACAACGGTACATAGAGCCAACGAATTTTGAATGACTTCATTCTACTGCGAATAGGAGCATGTTGAAGCCCAAATTTGGAATTTGTTTTATTATCGATTTCATATTTTGTAAAACTTTAACGAATTTTTGATTAAAAAACTTGTAGAGTCATTAGGTTTATTGGAAGCAGAAAAGATGAAAAATATGCAACCGCCTTCGCCGGAAATCGAACCACGGACCTCTGAAATACCGGCCCAGCGTGCTAGACACTACACCACGAAGGACACTAGGGAATTGGGAGAAATACCTTATAAACATAAGGATTTCAAAGCGAGCAATGGCAACGTTGTACAGAAAAAATATTTTTATCTCCAGCGCGTGAGACTGTGTCTCGGAAATTTTAAAGATATGCTCAATTTAAAATTATTTTGCGATATTGCTCTTGAATTGAATTTTATGGTTTAAGTGTGAAGAGCATGATATTGAATAAATAAAGGTAACACACAAAATGTTGCAAAACTCCCCTTTGGACGTAATTTAAACCTTTCAGATTTTAAATTTTTATTTTATTTCAGAATGATGTAAATTTTATGACAGTGGAAGGTAAAATATATAATTTTAAGAAATGGCGTGCTGAAATGTATCTTAATTTATTCGATATTTTTTAAGCGAATGTGTATGCCAGCGATTTTTTGAAAGGATATCAGTGGGCGAAAAGTTTGAAATACAAAGTTTCTCTCATAATTCTGCGCAACATTTTAAAAATACAAAACAAGTTAACTATCACTCGGTATCAAACATTACTATACTAAAAATAGGCAAACTCATTAGTTTCTTTTTTTTTTCTTTCACATGTTTTGCAGTCTCTCAGTATTTTAACACTTGCTGCTACGAGAAATATCTGCGCTGTAAATAATTTTTTCCTACATTTTTGCCAATGTGCTAGAGTTGAATAGCATCGGCGATACGGTTCCTAAGATCCTGAATTTAAAAAAAAAAATAGAGACAGAAATACAATGTATTTTGCAAACTTTTACAAAATGATATCACATGACAGTAATTCTGGAGACAGGTCTGGCCAATGCATTAACGTGTCCTTTCTTTATTCCGTTCATGCTGTTCAGCTTAGGTGTTAATATTGAGCACTTAGATTTTAACTCAAATTTTACTAGAAGTACTATTATATGTGTAGCAAATTTTGGCTGTGATAGTTTCGCAAATGATTTGGGTAACGGTCATTGTGACACACAGCCGGGGAAGCAACTTTTTCAAAGAGATAAGCATTGCTAATTTATTTCAACTGCAGCATCAGATATCTTTCCAGTATGTCAGAGTAAATACTACCAATGACGCAAAAGTGTCTATGGTACTAGAAAGGTTAGGCACGCTAGACACTTGTGAAATACATAAAGAACATACCTCTAATTCAAAGCTTAAAGAATATAAATCTGCTTCAGAGAGTAATAAAATTTAGTTGCCCAATTTATTTGTTACGGTTCAGGTTTATTGAGATTACGGCAAAGCACACGAGGGCTATCTGCCTAAGAGGAGGGATGCCCTTCGCTTAAGACTTTCTAAGTGAAACTAGCTCGTATACACGTTACACATGAGGGAAAACCACGAAAACGCCCATGCAGCCAGCCCGTTCGCGAGATTCGAACCTCGGACCAAACTACCAGTGTTCAGCGACTTTACCGCTCGGCCGCTGCTGAGCCTTATTTGCTACGAAATTTGAAGTTATTTCTCAGATTCATAAATAACCTTGAATGTTAACTGAAGTACGGTCTTCGTGTAACTGGAATTACTCAGTTTAAGTTCATCTTTTGAACGATTATGTGCATATGAATAAAAAAATAGTTACTCTGCGCAAAAAAAGGGGGTTGGGGGACAGTTCTATATCTCCCTTTTTACTAGGCCGGTTAACGAAATCCAAATTGCGTTTTTCATGTCTCGAAAGCGCGACTTAGGATATATATTAGATATATACCGGATGGCCATAATTAAAATGACAGTGCTCACAGTGTTCTGTAGCGCGATCTATCTGCGAGAATGACGCCACATTTTGTAGAAAGATTAAACAAGACGGGGGACGAAGGATTCCGCGAAAAAAAAAATTAGTTCCAAAAGTCACCGCTAGGGGAATATTTCCCGCTCTGTAATAGAAAATAGAGTGTTAACAAATGCAAATTAATACAGGATAAAATTTATCATAGGTCCATTCTTCTATGAGAACATTACCCCGACAGGACCGGAAACGTGTTCTGTTACCGGAGAGAAATATCGCCACATGTTGAACAGCTTTGTCATTCCGGCACTTCAGCAAAGACAATGCCTGGGGGAAATCATATTCATGCAAGATGGAGCTTCTCCACACTTTGCTGTACGGGTGCAACAGATGCTACGACAGAAATTCACAACAGAAAGAGTCATTAGCCGCAACTTTGCAACTGCATGGCCACCTCGGTCGCCTGATCTTACACCATGCGACTTCTGACTATGGGGTTGCCTTAAGTCCAAGATCTATCAAGGAGTGATCCAGGACCTGGCTACGTTGAAGGATAATATATCACGGACTGTACACAGAATGCAATATGTGGTCCACAACAAACGCACCCCCATTGAAACTCATTTGAATGCAAAGTAAAAGGTAATTTCCGTATTGATTTGCATATGTTAACACTTTATTTTCTATTACAGAGCGCCAAATATTCCCTTAGCGCTGACTTTTGGAACTAATTTTTTTTTCGCGGAATCCTTCGTGCCCCGTCTTGTTTAATCTTCTTACAAAATGTGGCGTCATTCTCGAAAATAGATCACGTCTACAGAACACTGTGAGCACTGTCAGTTTAATTATGGCCACCCGTTATATAGCATGGTTACAACATAGATATGTTGACACAAAATTGGACTTTTTCTGAAATAACATGCCCATTTTTCCCATGTTTCGATTCTTCGACTCTAATATTCGATGTCTATAATTCGATGTCTAAATATTAAATTTTGTAAAATTTGGTGTGAAATTTATGGAGGAATTTAAAAATTTATCTTAGCACATTTTTCTCAGTTTGCGGCAAGAATAATTCACTTGGTGAAACTCTTAATCCATAGTAATCTATTTACTTTCCTTTTCTTCATTGATGCAGGAGCGGAAAAAAGGTCCATCCTTCATTCTTTCAAATTATTTTAACAAAGTGCGTAAACCGCATTTTCGTTATTATCGCTTATAATAAATACGCCAAATTTCAAAACGCTCCAAAATGTAAATTCACATATACCTTAAAAAAAAAAAACTCTCTTCGAAATAAATCTGTTTGAAGAAGAAGGTAAAAATTTTACAGATTATAAATGCTTTTCGAAAAATTTATTAAATTTATTGAAAAATACAAATTTTAAAAATAAATCATAAAAATGGGCGAATTATATTTGGATTAAGTCTAAATTTTGAATTCTGGAGGAAAGAATAATAAAAAAAAGCTTAATAAAAAAGAGATATTAATGAATATATATCAAATTCAATTAACATTGAGAAGCTAAAATTTTGAGAGCTAATTTTTTAAAAACTACTCGTGCAATTTTTACAAATGGTGGCAGTTTGTCATAATTTGAGTCATAGAATAGAAATCTGGAAGGAAATTGGCATGTCAGTTCAGATAAAGTCTGATTTAGAGTCAAAATATCTATAGTAGAACAATGTTATATATATATATATATACATCTAATACATATCCTAAGTTGCGCTTTCGAGACATGAAAGACGCAAGTTGAGTTTCGTCAATCGGCCCAGTAGACGAGAGTACAAATGATATAGAACTGTTCCATTTTTCTTTTCGCTGTGTACATCAATATAAACTGATATACAAACAAATCCGAAGACTAAATGACTGCATACTTTAGATGTCTGCAGAAGAAAAATATTGAGCCGATGATAAAATGTTTTATAAATAACTTTTATACCTTTTGTCAGTTTACATATTTTACAATATAGAATTTCTTTCCCGAGCTTTAAGATTTGGCTCCATCTATCTAAGAACATGATATTTATCAGATTCAGAAGAATTCAACTCCTAGAACAGCCACGTAAATGTATAGCATTCTCCGTCTGTGGAAGTATTCTCGCCGGTTTTCTTCTAAACAATTATAAGAGAGTTTCTTCATTTAGCAAATTACATTTCCTTGAAATTCCCCATGTGTATAAACATAGTCCTGTTCGGTTAATGACCACAACTTCTATGCAACGCATATTACTTGCTTCAGTATTTAAAGAGCTTAATTATTCATATGGCTCTATTCTTCTGTTGCATTAACAGAAGATATTAGGCACTTAAAGTTACTGAAGGGAAAAAACATTTTATTTTCCGAAATGTTAATTTTTGTTTTTAAGTTTTTAAAATAAGAAAATTTATAATTAATGCACAATAAAATTGTTAAAACTCGGTTTAAAATTATTCTATTTATATATAATTTACTG